CGTCAAAAGCTTAGTGCCACACTGCCGCACTGCCCGTAAGGCGCTCCGGCCACCCCTGGGGTAGGCGAACCCGCCAGTCGTCGTGGTTATGCTGTGCCGCACGCAGGCGTGCGTGTTGGGGGCCCTAGAAATACGCAAAATGCACCTCTACACAGGCAATCCACCCGCCCGTCATGCAGGACCTTAAACCGCCCCTGTACGCCGACCCCCACTGCCTAGTGCGATTTGACTCTTTTGAGAAATCTCATTGCCGACGTTGTATAACGAAAACATATCAACCAACTGTGGGGGCCGTGGCAAGGACGACTTCCCCGACGTGGAGCTGGTGACGGCTGGCCGGTACGGTGCGCAGCGCCGCGAGGAGGCTCTGCTTCCCGACGAGGAGGTCCTCCTGGAGGTGTTGCCGCCCTCGCGAAGGGCCTCGGATCGCCCATGGATCTCCTCGCAGGTCAGTATGGTAAACCACGTCGTAGAGACGTAAGAGACGTCCCCGTTTAAGGGCACAAATCCGGCGGCCCGAGTCAGCGTAATTTGACCAGACTATTGACCACCCCTTTTCGGGCAATAAATGATGTTCGACACCCCCAACCACACGGCCCCTTTGGAAGCTCCACAGTTGTAACTACAACCGACACGGCCGCATGCAGCTTCATCCGAACCAAAACTGTCGGCCCTGAGATCGACTCCCGGCCAGGGCAAACATTTTTTGTCGCTTTTTGTCACCCGTTAGGCAGAACTATCGTCGAGAGGGGCGAGCTTGGCAGTCGAGTGGCTAAGGCGTGATCGTTGGCAGAGCGCGGGGATGGTCGGTAGTTCGAATCCCGTCTGTGAAACTTTTTTCCCCACCCTGCCGGTCGTGTCTTTCGGTCGTCAGAGCCAGCTGAGATCGGCATGTCGCCGGGAGCTGTCATCACTATCGTTCCTCCGCGGCGGCCAAGTCCGTATGGTCCCAGCCCCATCCCGGCATGAACCTTGTGCGAGGTGTACGGAGTAACACACGAGTTTGGCAGGTAGATGTTTATTGCTCGGATGCTCAGAGACAAGTAACAGA